TTCCCCGGGCTGCGGAGGGCAACGCTGCACGAGGGAGGAACCACGGGAGGAAGGGAAAAGGGAAAAAAGAAAATGTTAACGAGGAAATAACGGATCAGGGGATAAACAGGAGGAGAAAAAGGAGGAGAAATGTTAACGAGGAAATAACTATAAGACAGAGAAACAACAGGAAAAAGAGGAGGAGAAATGTTAATGAGGAAATAACAGATAAGGTGGAGAAACAGCAGGAGAAAAAGGAGAAAAAATGTTAATGAGAAAACAATGGATCAGGTGGATAAACAGCAGGAGAAAAAGAAATTTTAAAGAGGAAATAATGGATCAGGTGGATGAACAGCAGGAAAAAAAGGAGGAGAAAAGTTAACGAGGAACTAATGGATWAGGTGGAGAAACAACAGGAGAAAAAGGAGAAATGTTAAAGAGGAAATAACGGATCAGGCAGATGAACAGCAGGARAAAAAGGAGGAGAAATGTTAACTAGGAAATACTGAACAAAGTGGATAAACAGCAGGAAAAATGGAGGAGGAGAAATGTTAATGAGGAAATAACGGATAAGGTGGAGAAACAACAGGAGAAAAAGGAGAAATGTTAACGAGGAAATAATGGGATCAGGYGGATKAACAGCAGGAAAAAAAGGAGAAATGTTACTGAGGAAATAACAGATAAGGTGGAGAAACAACAGGGAAAAGGAGAAATGTTGATGAGGAAATAATGGATAAGGTGGATAAACAGGAGGAGAAAAAGGAGGAGAAATGTTAATGAGGAAATGACGGATAAGGTGGAGAAACAACAGGAGAAAAAGGAGGAGAAATGTTAACGAGGAAATTACAACAAGACGGAGAAACAACAGGAAAAAATGGAGGAGGAGAAATGTAAAGAGGAAATAACAGATCAGAGAGATGAACAGGAGGAGAAAAAGGAGGAGAAATGTTAATAAGGAAATAACAGATAAGGTGGAGAAACAACAGGAGAAAAAGGAGAAACGTTAAAGAGAAAATAACGGATCAGGTGGACAAACAGGAGGAGAAAAAGGAGGAGGGGAAATGTTAACAAGGAAATAACGGATCCGCGGATAAACAGCAGGAAAAAGAGGAGGAGAAATGTTAACGAGGAAATGACTGATCAGGCAGAGGAACAACAGGAGAAAAAGGAGAAATGTTAATGAGGAAATAACAGATCAGGGGATAAACAGCAGGAAAAAGAGGAGGAGAAAAGAATGGAGCTTTGGAAAGGCTGGAGATGTTCAGGTCTCACCTGTGCTCGACAAAAAACTGCCTTTTTTTTTTTTTTTTTAAGATTGTTTTCTCACCTTCAGTCTTGCTCGTCCTGCCTGGTGGCTTTTTAGGATTTCTGTTGGGAGGGACTTTAAGGATCATCAAATTCCAATCCCTGAAAAGAGAGGGAGATCAGGCACAGAATCCACATCCTTTTTTTTAAAATTTTTTATTCCCTTTGGCAAAGTCATCGCCCAACCCCAAATTCCTTCCTGACAAATCCGCTCTTTCCCGACACGGAGCAATAATTAAATCCTTCCTTCTGAAACACCTCGAGTTCCTCCTCTGAAAAAGAAGAAGAGATCAAATCTTTTCTCAGGGAAATCACAATTTCATTCAGAACTCACCTGATCACCTTTTGTAAACTTTTTTTTTTTATGTGCAAAATCTTGGGTTAGAGGTGAATATTAACATTTAAATGGAGATTGGTGTTAATAGCCCTCAGACTATTAATAAATCTCAGCCTTGCCTCAGATTTATTTTTTTCCCTAAATGAGTAATCTTCTTAATTTTTATTCTCTTTCTGCGAGAACGGAGTTCAAAAGACCGTTTTTAATATGGAAATCTGTCAATATTTTTTATGGATATCCATAGTGCATAACTCAAAATTCCTCTTTGCTAAATGTCTTCGTGGTTGGCTCTTTTAAAATTTAATTTAAAAATTAAAAATTGCTGTTTTCTTTCAAAAGTGCTGTTTAAAACCCAACAAAAATAACCATTTTGGGGCTCGGGTGGTTTTTGGCTTTTTTCCTGCAGTTTAGGAATCATTTCCACCCCATTTAGGGGATTTTTAACCTTTCCTGACTGATTTTAGCACAAAGATTTTCTTTATATTGTGGTGGATCTTCCCGGGGAAATTCCAGATGGATTAAAGCAGCAGGGAGAATAAAATTTGGTGTTTTTTTACTCTTAAATTCATCCTAAAAATGCCCCAAAAACCCCAAAAAGGGAATTTTGGATCCAATCCCGTTGGAAATGGTCAGCGGAACGGGTCATGGGTGTGTCTGGTTGGGATGTGAGATCCTGGTGGGAAAAATGGATTTTATTTTTTAAAAAATAACAAATCTTCGTTATCCAAACCATCGAAATTGGTTAATTGTCTCGATGAACAGGAGATGAATGATTTGGGATTCCTTCATTCCTTGTTCTCCAAAATACGCCATCAACTGCGGAAATTCTGGCTCGTTGGAATTCTGCAGGAATTCTGGCCCTTTGGAATCTTCAGAAATTCTGATCCCATTGCAATTCTGCAGAAATTTTGTCCCATTGCAATTTTCAGAAATTCTGTCCCATTGCAATTTTCAGAAATTCTGTCCCGTTGGAATTCTGCAGAAATTTGGAATTCTGCAGCAATTCTTCCCCATTGGAGTTCTGGAGAAATTTTGTCCCATTGCAATTTTCACAAATACTGTCCTGTTGGAATTCTGCAGAAATTCTACCCCACTGGAATTTTCAGAAATTCTTCCCATTGGAATCTGCAGAAATTTGGAATTTTGCAGAAATTGTGCCCCATTGGAATTTTCAAAAATTCTGTCCCATTGCAATTTTCAGGAATTCTGTCCCATTGCAAGTCTGCAGAAATTCTGGCCCATTGGAATTCTGTAGAAATTTGGAATTCTGTAGAAATTCTGGCCCTTTGGAATCTTCAGAAATTCTGATCCCATTGGAATTCTGCAGAAATTTTGTCCCACTGGAATCTGCAGAAATTTGGAATTGTGCAGAAATTCTGCCCCATTGGAATTTTCAGCAATTCTGTCCCATTGGAATCTGCAGAAATTTTGTCCCATCTGACTTCTGCAGCAATTCTTCCCCATTGGAATTCTATCCCAATGCAATTTTCAGAAATTCTGTCCCATTGGAATTTTCCGAAATTCTGTCCTGTTGGAATCTGCAGAAATTTGGAATTCTGCAGAAATTTGGAATTCTGCAGAAATTTGGAATTCTGCAGCAATTCTTCCCCATTGGAATTCTGGAGAAATTCTGTCCCATTGCAATTTTCAGAAATTCTGTCCCATTGGAATTCTGCAGAAATTCTGTCCCATTGGAATCTGCAGAAATTTGGAATTTTGCAGAAACTTGGAATTTTGCAGAAATTCTACCAACTGGAATTCTGCAGAAATTCTGTCCCTTTTGAATTCTGCAACAATTCTGGGTCATTGGAATTCTGCTGGAATTTTTCCCCTTTGGAATCTGCGGAAATTCTGGTCCATTGGCATCTTCAGAAATCCTGGCTCATTGGAATTCTGCAGAAATTTGGAATTCTGCAGAAATTCTACCAACTGGAATTCTGTGGAAATTCTATCCTTTTCAAATTTTGCAGAAATTCTGTCCCATTGGAATCTGCAGAAATATGGAATTCTACAGAAATTCTGTCCTGTTGGAATTTTCAGAAATTCTATCCCATTTCAATTTTCAGGAATTCTATCCCTTTTGAATTCTGCAGAAATTTGGAATTCTGCAGAAATCTGGAATTCTTCACAAGTTCTACCAACCGGAATTCTGCAGAAATTGTGGCCCTTTTAAATTTTCAGAAATTCTGTCCCATTGGAATTCTGCAGAAACCAAGAGCTTCCCCACTGGAATTTTGCAGAAATTCTGTCCCATTTCAATTTTCAGAAATTCTATCCCTTTTGAATTCTGCAGAAATTCTGAACCATTGGAATCTGCAGAAATTTGGAATTTTGCAGAAATTCTACCAAATGTAATTCTGCCGAAATTCTACCCCACTGGAATTCTGGGGAAATTCTGTGGAAATTCTGGCCCATTGGAATTCTGCAGCAATTCTGGGTCATTGGAATTCTGCTGGAATTTTGTCCCTTTGGAATCTGCAGAAATTCTGGCCCATTGGAATTCTGCAGAAATTTGGAATTATGCAGAAATTCTACCAACCAGAATTCTGAAGAAATTGTATCCTGTTGGAATTTTCAGAAATCCTGTCCTATTGGGATTCTGCTGGAATTTTGTCCCACTGGAATTTTCAGAAATTCTGATCCCATTGGAATTCTGCTGGAATTCTGTCCCATTGTAATTTTCTGAAATTCTATCCCATTGAATTTCTGCAGAAATTCCGGCCCTTTGGAATTTTCCAAAATTCTATCCCATTGCAATTCTGCCCGAATTCTATCCCATTTCAATTTTCAGGAATTCTATGCCTTTTGAATTCTGCAGAAATTTGGAATTCTGCAGAAATCTGGAATTCTTCACAAATTCTACCAACTGGAATTCTGTGGAAATTCTGGCCCTTTTGAATTCTTCAGAAATTCTGGCCATTGGAATTTTCAGAATTCTGGCCCATTGGAATTCTGCAGAAATCAAAGACTGTCCCTTTGGAATTCTCACTGGAATTTTGTCCCTTTGGAATCTGCAGAAATTGTGGCACACTGGAATTTTCAGAAATTCTGTCCCATTGCAATTCTACAGAAATTCTGTCCCTTTGGAATTCTGCAGGAATTCTGGTTCTTCGCAATCTTCAGAAATCCTGGCTCATTGGAATTCTGCAGAAATTGTACCAATTTCTGTTAAATTTTTGTGGAATTGCGTGAAATTTCTGTCCCATTGGAATCTGCAGAAATTTGGAATTTTGCAGAAATTCTACCAACCGGAATTCTGCAGAAATTCTGTCCCATTGCAATTCTGCCGAAATTCCACCCCATTTCAATTTTCCAATATTCCATCCCTCCCAAACTCCCCCCAAACCCCCCAACATTCCCATTTTCCCCCATTTTCCAGACAATACTACGAGATGCTCTACAACACGGCGGACGAGCTGCTCAACCTGGTGGTGGACCAAGGAGTAAAATACACSGAGTTGGAGTACATTTACGCGCTGACGCTGCTGCACCGCAGCCAGACGGGCGTGGGCGACCAGAGCGCGCAGAACGGGCGACTGCAGCGCCTCAAGGAGATCATCTGCGAGCAGGCGGCCATCAAACAGGCCACCAAGGACAAGAAAATCACCACCGTCTGA